GCATGTCCACACCAGCTTCTTTTCTTCGTCCTGTCTCCAGGCTCCTGCTGGCTGTGGCATGGGATGCTGCTAGGTGAATGGTAAGTTTTGCAGCACAGCAAACCTGCTGCCGCCATCCTGCTTCTGGATCCTAGGGGGCTGGACTGTTGCTGGCATGGCCATTCCACTCCCGCTGCCTCCTTTCCACAGCCCTGTGTGCTGTGGGGTCACTGGCATTGCTGGCGGCACAGCAATCCCACAACCTCTGCCATGCTCCCATGGCTCGGTATCCAGTGGCACTGCTGGCAGGTTCGTTGGTGTCCGGCTTTTGCCACTGCCGCTGGATCTCCATGGCTTGGCATTTCCCTTGTCCCCGCCACAGGCAAGCATGTGAAGTACTTAGTATGATTCATTGTTTTCCTACAGAGATGGAACTAGAAAGGAGATGAGTAGCTGATTTGGATTCAATGGGTGCGCCCAAGAACACGTTTGCAGAGCTACATGTTTCACACTGAGGTGTTCCCTGCACTGCAAGGTCACGCTGCCCGCACATGAGCTGCACCATTTTTCCCCCCACAGGTTTTTTTGACCCCTGGATATTCAGGGGTCAAAACACCAAACAAACAACAACAACCCACAGTGGGGAGCAGGGAGGAGAGACAATGTAGCGCGCTCTTCAGCAGCACGCACTGCTGAAAAGCGGAGTCAGGCTGCCAAGAGCCATGCTGTGGCTGCCAGCCAGGCTCTGCCTGGCAGGATCACCATGGATGCAGCCCCAGGAGGACCCCAGGACCCCAGGTAAAGCTGCTGGGGCCAGCAGACTCCCCTACTGCCCCCAGGGTAACTTGCTGTGTGCCAAAGCACACATGGCATGGGCATTCCCCAGAGACAAGGTGCTGTGGCACAAGGTACCCCAATGCTAGTTGTCTCTGGGGAACCAAATGTCCATGTATGTCTGGACATGCCTAATAGGTGCATCTATGAGATGCATACTGTGGAGTTGCCTAATTCGCTCCACAGTAATTGTCTCAGTGGGTGCATTGGACTAATCTACTACATATTAGCACAGCTGGCAAAAACTGTGCTAATGCACAGTAGACTCAGTCTAATGTGCATTATCATCGCAAAAAAGTGCTCATCTGCACTAATGCGCAGTAGCACTAATTATGGCACATTAAGTTAGTACTTGTCAGTAGACATGCTCATTGTCTAAATGTGAAGTAAACTAATAAACTCTGCTGAAGGTTAGTACTTGTAAACTTGCAACACATATATAGAGACTGATGGGGCTGGCTGAGGCACGAGGGTTCTTCAGTGTGGGGGCTGCCTGGCAGCTAGCCCCTCACTGAAGCACCCTCATGCCCCAGCCAGCCATTCTGTAGGACAGGTTCCCCAGGCTGGCAGACTGACTCCTCGGACTCCCTGCCAGCTAGGACTGCTCCAACCTGGATCAGCGTGTGGTGGTCCCAGGTACAAGTTCAAATGCGGTGCCCAGGAGCAATAAACTCTGGTGCAATATGTGCCCGAGTTTATTGTTTAAATTAATTGCATGTGTACCATGTCAAATGTGCACAATAACCTACTGATGGCAAAGGGATTCAGAATTCTGAAATAGTATTTGGGGGATGGCAGAATTTGTCAAGGGCACTTAGGTAAGTGTTATTCAAAAAAATCTCCTGTTTTACCTTGTTATGGATGCAGAGTAAATAAACAGAAGTGCAATAACATTCGGGAGGTTTTTTGGCTTGTGTTTCAACTCCAAGCCAACAGCAAAGTTTACAAACCCATAGTCTCTGGGGAAAAGCTGTCAGGGTAGTCCTTGCCTGATATGAGAAAGTATGTAGAAATCAGGCACCTGGAGAAATGGTAGGATACTATACAGAAGGGCAGGGAGCATCATGTCTTTAGAATAGCCATGTAGCCTCAAGCAAGCATGGATCAGAGAACTAAAGAATAATGTGCAGCTTATAGAAGGCCTTGGGAAAACTGATTTCCCAGAGGCAAAAAGAATTCACACTGCCCTACAGTAGGTGAGATGATGGCTGTAAATACCAGTTAATTTTTACTGTGGAGAATGTTGGCTTTGGGCAGTTTCTAAAGCTACTGGAGTCTCATTACTGGCTCCTTTCTTGCAAATTCCTTGCTAACAGTATTATCCCTGATACATATGAAAAAGTGCATCAGCAAGTGAAAATTCTGATGTAAAACAACCACAAATTATTACTACTACTGAGGACACTGGGTTTCAACAAAGAAAAATGCTACTCTGGGACATAACCCATTGTTTTTCAAGGTTCTGGCAAGCACATTTGAAAGTCATGTGTGCCCAGGAAGGCATGAGGTATAAGCAAGTCTAGATTTTGAGAGGAACAGGTCAAAGCAATAGAATAGGATACAATAAGTTTGTAAATAGGATACAAGGCAAGTTAGAGAAGCAGTGAAAAAAGTATATATAATTAGGTAGTTTGTGTTGATGATGAGTTCATGATAAACTAGAAAATGTTGACAGAATTAATGAAGACTAGGTAGAGTATGTATAATAAGTGTTCCAGAACACAGAAAGGTCATGGGTGTGAGAGAGTCTTCACAACCAAAGAAGGAATAGGAATCCTGATTAAAATTTCCAAATTAGGTTTTCAAAGAAGAGAATGATCTAATTCCATATTGATTGTTTTCCATATTAACTTGTCCACCAGGGTTCTCCCCATCTAATGGGAATAACTTCCATTTAACTAATGTATTTTAAATAAAATAAGTCATTACATAAAACAAGCTCCTATGCATTTAAAAACAACATTTCATCTCATTCTCATTCTAACCAAGAAAAAAGGCAGGAGTCTATCCTGAATGCACATTATTGTGTTTGGATAGCATGGTTCTCAGCCAGCTGTCTAGAATGCCCAAGTGCACCTTATAACCATTCTCAGTACATCAAAATACCTTATACTCACACAATGATCTCTGTCAAGTAGTTCTACAATTTCACATTTCCACTGTGAGAATCCAGTGACAACAGTACTGCTAATTTCAAAAGGAAAAAAAAAAACCTGAACAAACCTACAGCAAACTAATATGCCTGTTTGGCAGGTGACACATTAAATATATATATATACATATATATATACACGAATATACACACACATATTTGATGAATGAGCTAGATCCATGTTGTATCTATTAGTATATTTCATTATTTTTAATTTTAATTCATTTATTCATAGTTTTAACCTTTGTAAGAACATCAGTTATTCAAATGAGTAGACAGGTAAACCACATCAACAAAACAGCAGTGTTTAATGTTGAAGATAACTGACATGCATGAAGTCATTGTATTAAAATATTGTTCTTCCTATTGTTTAGCACAGATGGTGCTGGTAATTAATATTGTGCTATTTTTTTCATCAGGGGATTCCCTGATTACAAAATTCACACAGTATGTAATAAACTGCTACATTACCGTGTATGAATAAATGATTTATGAGTTATATATTTATTAATAAGAAATCCATTATCCAAGATGCAAATTATGCAATGCTTCAAAACTTTACAACTGGCATTGCTTGAGATACCATTTATTTAACAAATTCCATCGTTTTTATAATATCACATATTATAAAAAACAACCTGTTTGCTTCTGTCTCCTCTGAGGGCCCTATTTAAGCATTCACTCAAGAAAGAAGGACAACTTCTTAAACAAAGACAATGCCTATTTTTCAAAAAAACAGCACTTTATCGTGAAAAATGATCTATGATCTTATTTGCCATGCAGTCTAGAAGAAATCATTTCTGTACAGCATTAGGCCAAGCTATGAATAGCGTGTAGGGCAAGCACAATAGGCTTCAACTTTTCTGACATTTCCTATGGAAGGCATCATGGGCATGGAATTAAGGCAAAATTTCTCTACCTTACCATGATACCAGCCTTGCAGAGGAGGGTCAAACAAATCCTGTGTTCTTTCCAAAGCTGTTTTTACTTTATGGTTCTTTTTAAACATCATCTTTTTACTTTTAATTTATTATTAATTAAGGTCTAAGTTATACTAATTAACTTTCAAATCAGACAGTTTATAGCCTACCGGGAAACCATCAAATATTATACTAACTACTTTTAATCAGAGGTGCAAATTTGTTTAAATGCTGCATGTTTTTACTGCTATAATAATGCCCACAGCTTATGAGTAGGTAGCCTAAGGGAACTCAGATTCGTGAACTTCACTAGATTCTGATCTGCCATCTGATCTGCTCAATCCTGAAAAATTCTGGGCATTGTGTCTTGATCCTACAGAGCACACAAGCATATGCACCATGTCCAGTAAATGAATACTACTACTGAAGTCAGTGGGACTTAGTTCTGCATGTGAGATCTGATCCAAAGGCCTCCGAAGTCACAATGGGCTTGTTTTCATTGACTTCAGGCTTAAGTGCTATAGATGAATCAGGACCTCAGTGAAGTCTTCAGATAGCCTCAACTGGCAGTAATTGCTCCAGACATACAGGAAGAAAGACAAAGGATGTGATTTACCAATGGTATAACCTGAGGAGAGCTGCTGAGACCCAGAGTCTGCAGCTGCCAGAGCTGAGAATCCCTTCAGTTGCAGGATTCACAGCCTCAGCTGGGCATGGTGCACCAAGGAGACCCTGCTTCACATGCAAATTAAAGCTGGAGAGCAACCAGTTATAAGGTTATTACGCATTTCTGAGCTCTAACTTTACAGCTGGTTGGACCTTTTTATGGTGTGATAGATACTTTGCATGTGTAAGTGGTTGTAGTTACTTGTACAAATAACCAGCTAATAGCGCAATACCTGTAATGTGTAAAGGAGACCTGATTAGGGACTAATTTATTCAGAAATGCATGAGCTTTCATAGGTGATTGCAAGTCCATTTACAACATCTGACAAAGTAAGCTGAGAGCAGGAGTACTAAATAGAAAGCAATAAAATAATTTAAAGACAAGGGATAGGGGAAAGGGAAAGAATGAATAGGGGCTGTGGACACTGCTGAAATAGGAAGGTGAATTGAAGAAAGCAAAACCCCCCCCAAAAACAACACAGTTAAAACAAAGGAATACAGAGATTATAAATGTTAGTTCATGTAATGGGATAGAGATCCATAAATTCAGTCAGTGGATGATTTTTTGTTTGGCAGTTTCATGTTCAGGTTGGCTTTTGAAGCCTTGGTGTTTAGTATGAGGTAAGTGATAGAGCGCCCAGGAAGTTCAAGTGTTCTGCACAGACTTTTGTGTCTTTCTGGTGATGGTAAAAAAACCCACAAACCTGATGGGAAATTGGTGTTTGTTCTTTCTTTCACGTAACATTTCCCCACCTGGCCAATGCAGACTGCAGAGGGATACTGTAAGCAGGTGATGACATTTATGATGTTGTTAAAAGAGCAAATGAATGAACCCAGATGTTATAATCCATGTTGTTGGGTCCAGTAATGGTGTGGACCGTGTTGATGAGGGGGCACAGCTGGCATCTGGGTCTGTTAGTATTCCTGCCCCCTACAAGTCTACTCATAGCGTCTGATGAAGTAGGCTGTTACCTATGAAAACTTACACATTTCTGAACAAATTAGTTTCCAAGGTGCCACCTTATCCTGCTTTCTGCTTGACTTCAGACTAACACAATCAACTACTTCTCTCTACTCATGAAAGTTAAAGGTAACATCAGCATTTTGATTTTGTATTATATTTTTGTGCATTCAAGCGAACCATTATCGCTTGAGGAATCCTGTCTGTGGATCTTGTTTCACTGTAAGCCATCCTGGCCACATCTAGATGAGCGTGCACATGTAGTTTGCAGTACTGCAGACCTGTCTGAGTGCCACAAACCACACTCAGCCCACATGCAGGCATTCACTATGCTGCTAATTTGAGATCCTGGTGTAAAAAAAAAAAAAACATGCTAGAAAAAAGTGGGGCAGTGCTTGTGGCTACAGTGTGCGCTGCCTGAAACCAGAGCTGGGTTGGCCAGAGCCATGCTTCAGCTGCCAGCAAGGCTCTGTGCACCTGGATTGTCACCCCTAGATCCAGAACTGCAGGTAAGGCTGCCAGGGTCAGCCTAGGTGCTGGCTCCAGCCTCTCCTACCCCACCCATAGCATTTTCCCCTGTGCTAACCCCATGTGCAGGGCTGTGCACTAGGGCTAAAAGCAGTGGCACAAATTTATGCTACTGCTTTTTTTCTCCACAGCAACTGCACGCCCCTGCTCAGGCAGTGCCTCCATTGTGGACTGCAGTGGTCCCTGGGGCTAGGTACAGATACTTAAAAAGCCCAAGGCTGAATTCATCTAAATTATGCGGTTTTCTGTAAGCGGCATCATTTAGATTGCTAGCAAACAGAACATATATTCACCTTTTGGTGGGGGGAAGCAAATCTTAGACTGGGTTCCACCATTTTTAAACCGATCTGTGCAAGCTGAACTGTTCTGTTCTGTTCTGAGTATAGAGTGATTTCTCCTTGCTTACACCAGTAAAAGTGTAATGTCTGTACCTGGACTAGCTGTCAACATTTGGGCTTCTGCTTCTGAGCCTGCATATAATGAATCCACTTTGATCACTTACACACCGAACCTAACCTCTAGTGCAATCCAGTTTGCTGCTAGGGAGATGACTAATTCCCCAGAAGGATACAATCTACTAGACCTACTCTGAGCACATCTAACTTATCTGAAGAGCACTGAATTCAGCTAAAATGCAACAACAATGGTGGTGGTATTTAAAAGTTAGAGTACTCACCCAGAAATCAGGGTGCTAGGCACTACTCATCCTGAGGAGATTTTTAAACCAAAACTTTCACTTCTTGGGAGCAAGCCTTAACCACGAGCTTATGGAACTAGTTATATGAGTATATTCACCAGCTCTGTGCTTGAGATTTTGCCACCGGGCAGAGAGGAGTGCAGGATCTGTGCCACCAAAGAGAGAACAAGCAAACAGGAGCCTGATTCTGTGGTCCAGTGGTTATAGCCACTCCATGCCAAGGGCGAACCCTGGATTCCGTTTCCTGCTCTCGGGAAGCTGAATGTCTTAAACCTGGGGCTATAGCATCAGCATCCCTCTTTATTGCTCTCTGTACTGCTTATGCAATTTGCATTATGTTGAATAAAAAGCCAGGATCTTGAGTTTCCTACCTTCAAAGATACCTCACTGGGCCAAACAGACATACTCCCACTTCTTTGCTTTCCTCCTGGCCTCTACAAATCCTCATTCTGCTACCCAGTGGCTGACTTTCAAAAGGAAGGCTGTAGGATGTCTCAGCACTGCCAAACCCCAATAGGAGCTGTCTTTAGCCCTATCTAGAGCATGGCCAGTTCATTAGGACACAATTATGATTCGTGAGGTGATTCAAATTCCTTCACAATATGAGGGCTATAAAATGCAGATCTCCCACTACCTGGGAAAATGCCTTAACCATTGGGCAAAAGATGTACTGTGGCAGTACCACCAGGCCACTTATTTTCAGTATCACACAGCTAATATGTGAGGTCCTTTTCTGCTCCAACTTTTGGAAGCCTGCATGGAATTTATACACTTTTCCAAACTGAACAGAGCGTGCTGGAAACAAAACTAGATGCCACTGTGGCTACCTTGGCTCACGTCTGAGTACTGTATGCTTAGTAGGCCAGACCCAGGCATCTAAAGAACTGGGGGAGATGCGAGGCTACGATGGAGATGCCGAAGTGGAACACAAGCAATTTATGACAGAATTCAGAGTCTTGGAATAGGATCATATTCATCGATTTATGCACCAGAAACTTCCCTAAGTGGAACTTAGGTGCCTTAGAGGTGAAATAGCACTGGGTGTTAGACTTTAAGTGCTGGAGTGCCTAGACACAGTCTCTTCAGAAAACAAACCTGATTTGACCCATAACTCTCTTGTCCAATGATGTTAAGTCCTAAGCAATGTAAACGTCCAAGTACTTTTAACTTACAGCTGCAGAAATCCTTTTTCTGAGTATAGTTTATTTTTACTGAATAAAATCCTAATTATATTTATTGTAGAACTATGTCAAGTCATATATTGATTGAACTATGCAAGTATAGAACATGTTTTCCAAGCACATTGGATGTACTTTCTTGACAATATGTTTTTTATTTTGAAGATGGCTATAGATAGATGTAAAATGCATGAATATCCTATTTAATCATAATAATTTGTAATCAATAATAATAAAATAGATCATTAGAATATAAATGTGTATTACATTACTACTTGTTACTTTTAGCTTACTGGTAAAAATGAATGTAAAAATCAATACATTTTATCTAGTATAACTTTCATTTTGACTCTTATCTAATATTATTAGTTCTGCATAATATTTACATTTTTACCAGCCATTTTGGGGCTTTCTATCAAGGTTCCTATATTGTTGCCCATCACAATAGCCTATGAGTGAGAAAATAATGTAATTATAAAATTAATTGTAAGGGATTGTAACCATTAGTTTTGGAAACATTAAATCTATCAAGTCTGTCTGTCTGATGTTACATTCTGTAGTCTATGATAGTTTATTTTAACAAGCTCTGCTTTTTCATACAAACTGCTAATACATTTGAGCTGATTCTTTAAAGGTTTTTGATTTGTTAACCTATTATGGTATGAAATCAAACATTAGAATACAGATTGTCTGCCTACTTTATAAACTTTTGGGAGAAAAGAGATATTTTAAAACAGGCTAATACTGATATATTTAAGCAGTATTTATGTTTTGCTGTATGAAAAACAGCAAGTTTTTAAACGGAGTATTTATTATGAAGCAATTAATCCAGCTTGTTAACTTTTTAATGGAAATATATTACAAGAAATGTAATACTAGTTCCTCTTGTAAACTATCTTGCAATTCTCATTTCTGTATTAAGTATTACTCTAATGTAAAATAGTGCATGTTTCAGCTTTGAAACAGAACAATTTAAGAAGGCACTAATAATTCATGGAAATAAAACAATCATGCAGCTCAAAGTGATCACTGAAACACTGCTCCTAAAGTAGAAAATGAATTGCTTAGGAAGTGAGCTTTAAACAGGATTTTTCTTTACTATTTTCTTCATGAAAATATTCACTCTAATGAACATGGGAGATGAACATGTAAATATCTGTCTTTAAGCTACTACATTATTTTTGCTTTCAAAGTCATGTTTTGCAAATACAATGTTGACTGGTTGCATAAATATTAACCCAAATCACAAAGGATTTGTTTATAAATCATAGTAGTTAAATCACATATAGCCTAATACTGAATGTATTTGTATATCAAGCACATGTTATTTTCCAGTAAGAACAGAGGAATTTCATATGCATAAAACAGAAAGCTTACTGGTGTAGTATTTTCTACCTCATGAGTTTCTGCTGTGACCAATTGCATTATTCTTTAGTTGTTTATTGTTCTGGTATTTAAATCTCTATTTTATACAATTCGTGCACAGGTGGCAGTAAGATTTGAGGAGAACACAGGGTGCTAATTCAGAAATGTCTTTGTAAAATTTGGATATCAATCTCCCGAACCTTTCTCAGGTAAGACTCCCCATGGAAATCAGGTTATTGGCCACATTTTCAAACCAGTTAGGCATAAAATTGTGCATGAGAAATTCCTTCACAGTTTAGGCCTTAATTCTGCAAGGAGTTCTGCACAGACCCCTGTACCTTCACTGAGTTGCTTGCAAAAATGGGGTTATTAGCTAACTTAGCACATCAATTTAATTTTGGTCAAAACTAAATTGCTGATCTAAGCTTTAATCACTTGTAATTGCAAATTAGATATACAAATGTGCTCATACAATCAGGGAAACTGCAAGCACAAATTAGGTACCTAACTTCTATAAAAATCTGTCCCACTATTACTTCAATATAATTACAATTCAATATTTTCAATATATGAAAGTAATGCAAATATCACACAAATATGAAAAATTGCACTATTATAAAATGCAATTACATTTAATTAAATCTTAGATTTAGGTTGGCTTTATGTTGGATTAACAAACACAGTTTTAAAGGTAAGTTACTTAAATGTTAAATATGTTTGCAAATATGCTCACATAAGCATTTGCTGAATTTTTAAGGGTGACCATGATAAATTGCCACTCATACCTGTCATTTCATTTTACCCTATCAGACCAAAATAGCCATTTCATCAAAGATGTTGCCTTGAGCATCATGGAATCTTGCCTTTCATTTATGAGGGTTTTTTATTTCCTAGATTATAAGAATATACTGTAAAATAACTGTGATTTAGTTAAACAAATGTATTCTTGTTAATCTAGATGATCTGCATTTGGAAAATATACAGTAAAGAATACCATTATAATAAATTATAAGTGTATATTTTATGTAGGAACAACCAGAAACTTAGAGCTAAAGGTAAATGACTTCTTACTCTTGAGGGAATAATATTTTTAGCAATATTATTATCCTTGGAATTGCACTGTTAAAATTTACTACTCTGTATTTGATTCTTTATGTTTTATTCAGCTAAGTATTATACCTGGGGATCAATAAGAAGTAGAGGGTAGCCTTCATTTTTTTCATTAAGCCATTAAAACATTTGATATACTGCAGATGAATAATACTGAATTGTGAAGTTGTAACAGTCTAGATTTCTGCAATCTACTTAATAAAGAAACATCAACAGATTTGTTGGTCCCTCCCAAAGAAAACAAAGCAAAATTAATGAAATTAAAGCACATTTTACAGCTAGTATTTAACTTACTCTCTAGCCACTATTTCCCTTGCAGTGCTGATATATTTTGGCTTTTTACCATGATTTTTAGAGTATCAGCATACATGCTGCCATGACTATATTTTAATCTTTTTTGTGTCCTGAACTTCTTATCCCATGCTTCAGTATTTGACAGGGACTGGAGCTACATGTGGGGATCGAGGATAGCATATGGCCCAAGGTCCAGCTGGATGTCTGAATGCTTCTTTTCAGACAGAGGTTTGGATTCCTCAGTAATTAACAACTGACTCTTTAATATTTTTTAACTCAGTTTTTTTTTTTCTTTGCAATTCATATCCTGTTTTACAACATTCAAAAAGCACAAATTGAGCAGGTGCCAGGAAAAAAATAATAGAAATGAGCTCATTTTCATAGAATTGGACCCATTTTCATGCTGGCTGATGATGGTTTCCAACACTGAATTTTTACTGGCAAACAGGGTCCTGCAAACTCTGTCCTTCCAAATGCCTGCAGGAAATAATCCCAGGTTTCAAATGGAAAAATAAAAAATATGTTCAGTTTTGAGCAGGTTTTAGCCTTACTTTTGTTCTGAGCTACAATAACCCACAGGAAATGCTTTGAGCAGGTTTGGAGAATTTAATTTTTCTGTACTAATATTCTGAAGTTATTTTGTCTCTGCTTATTGGATGCCACAGATTCAGTGTGTGAATTGGGCTCCTCTTGCACAAATTCAGATAGCCAGATTTGGCAACTCCAAACTGCTCTGTGGCTCTGCTTTTTCTCTCTCCAGTTCTCAATCTGCCTCTCAGCAAAACTGCAGTGGAAAGTTTCCTCTAGTGGCTTGTGCTTCATTTTTAAAAACAGGTCTGGAAACAAATAAGAAGAAAGCAATATAATTGTGGCATTTAATAGGCACAGCAAGTTCTTTGTTTTTGTCACCAGCACAAAAGTCAGTGGTTTTATTAAGAGTCCATTCCCCTCCTCATAAAGGCTGAAAACCTAATGTAATTATTCTTGCTATATCATCTTGTTGTCTTCTTCCATGTTCTCCCATATGTTTTGAATAGCTTCCCTATTCTTGTGTAACAAGCAACAGTCTCTCCATCTTCAGATTCCTCCTTGAAACCTTCTTCTGGATAGCACCTCAGAAGACAGCCTTATAGCATGGTTCCTGCATTTCAAACTTACATTGTCATGCTCTAGTTTCTTTTTGTTACAATTTGACACTGAGCTTTCTTATATTACAGGGCAGATTGTGGCTGGTAATTTGTTTGCATACTGGCATTACTGCACAGTAGCATCCCTGCATGACTTCCTGGTGATGCTGACTGCACAGTAGCTCATTCCTACTGCTAGGCCTGTGCGAAGTGGCTAGTATTCTCTTTGGATTTGGATTCGGCCAATTTGGGGAGCAGAGATTCCATTTAGTGATTTGAATCACTGTCCCAAATTGATTTGGCTGAATCTGATTCAGAGATTTGGCTGCTGCCGAATCTCCGAATTACACAGGCCCCATCCGCTGCCCACTCTCCCAGCCCCACCCAGCCCCAACTCATAGCCCTTTGGGAAAAAAAAAAGAAGAAGCCCACACTCACCAGCTGCTGCCAGCCAGGGGGGTGATCCCCACTGCCCTATGTTGTATGGGGGGCTCTGCCACAAGCCCCCCAACCCCCACCTGCTTCCCCAGCTCTCCAGTGGCTGCTCCACCTGCCCCTGCTCCTGGCCCTTTAAAAAAAATTAAAAAGCCCCAACTCACTGGCTCCTGCCCAGTGGGGGGGTGATCCCCGCTGCCCCCCACTGCCCTGTGCTGCATGGAGGGCTCTGTCACAAGTCCCCAGAAGCCCCGAGGCTTCTGTAGCAGCAGCTGGTGCCTTTGGGGTTTTTTGTTGGTTTTTTTTTTTTTTAAAGGGCCGGGAGTTGGGGTAGGCAGGGCAGCTATGGGGGGTGCTGGGAGAGTGAGCAGGGGTCAGAGAGCTCATGGAAGAGCACCCCAGACAGCACAGGGCAGTGGAAGGCAGCGGGGATCACCCCCCCCTGCCTGACACTAGCAGGTGAGTGGGGGCTTTTTTTGAAACAGCTGGGAGCGGGAGTCAGGCAGGGCAGCCATTGGGGGTGGGCTAGGAGAGCAGGCAGGGGTCAGGGGGCACTCAGGGGGGCTGGAGGAGCAGGCAGAGAATGGGCTGTGTTGGGGGTCCTCCCATGGTCCCCTCCCCCGTCGTCCAACTCCCCCCTCCTCTGCCCCCTACTTACCAGCATGGAGTCTGAGTCCCCACTTGCTGCAGCAGGGAGCTGGACTGCCCAAATCACTGAAGCCCTCCAAATCTTTTCTAAATTGATTCAGAGAGCTTTGAATCAATTTGGACCTTTTAATTGGTCCTCTGATTCGATTCAGATTCGGCGATTCGGCTGCTGAATCGGGCCGAATCTCCTCCAAATTGAATCAGCTCCTGAAGCTTTACCTAGCCCTAATTACTACACAATAGCTTGTTACTACTGTGCAGTAGCATCACATCACAGTTCATGCCCCACAATGCTACTGCACAGTACTAATGATCTACTGCACAGTAAGCATCTCCTGTAGACATGGCCACTGAATGTTATTTATAGTTCATCCATTCTGTCTTGACAGAACTAAGTTTAGAACTAGACACACTTTATTCTTTTCCTCTGCAAGTCCAGAAGAAAAAAGGAGGGGAGGGGAGGAAACGTCTTGGATTGATAACTTTAATATATAAGTTACTACCAAAAAGAAAAATGACCACACTGTACTATTTGAGATTTTATTTTTCCTTTGGCATATAGGGAAAATTTGTGCTATCTCAGATACATGTGTGTGGTAACCATTGGCTAATACATTTTTAATATTTAGTTTTTATATTATGATAAGAGCAAGTATCCTGAGGATTGGGAACATATTTTCAGGCACTACTTTTTGCACATGAAATAAAAGAGATGATGACACTCCATTCTACTGGACCCCCTCCCCTTTTCAAGACAGTGAAGCCACAGGTGACTGGTGCCTCCTGAGTCTGAGGGGGCACCCACAGAAGCCAGTGGAGGTGGTGGGGACAGAGCTGGCAAGCACCCGCAAATGCTGCCGGTGGCATTGGCAGCAGGGACAACCCTACCGGGGGTACACGTGCTCTCCTGTGCCCTCTCTATGAGTTGTCTATGAGTGAAGCCATCCCACTGTTGGCACAACTGCCAAGTGTGGACTCTCATAACCTAGTGAACACTCAGCCAATCCTAGGTTAGGTTTATATTCAGCCATCTGATTGGTTTAAAATTTGGTTTACATTTGACTGGTGGAATTGGACAAGTCTAATTTTTTAAGGGAGGCTAAGAAAGAGGTTGTTTTGGCCTCTCTTCTTCTCATTGAACATGCTCATGCACCCAGTGAATTGGAGCAATCAGTTATTTTGGTTGGCTGTGTAGCCCACAGAAAGGTGTGTGTTACTTGAACTTTTTCTTTGACTAATATTTTGTTTTTGTTCCACTTCATATCGTTATTAGGCTAAAGTCAGTGTTCTTTCAGCTACCTAAGATCCCCCATCCTCTTCATAGATTCTTCTTCAAATCATGGATTTCTCTTGCTCCTTCAAAGCTTCATTTTATTCTTCCTCAGTTGGTACCAGAGTTTGAAAACATGTTCCTCTGATCCTTTCTCCTACACGTCTTCTCTGGAATACAGAATCCCTATGCTCTCTTCTCCTCCACTCTCTAAAATTGCTGTTAAGGGACTTTTTCTTTTATTATTCCCAGATCCTTTTTCAGCTGATCAGGAGATTGACTCCTTAGTTTACACTTCTGCCATGAAGTTCACATTTGAAAAAACTGGTTTGTCTTGAGTGGTAGCCATCTGTTTGTCCAAATGGATGATCGTCATAATTTAATGACCATTCCTTATTACTCTTATACCTGGTGCAAGAATTTCTCCTGCCACTTCCGGTATGATTTAGCTAAATATGGAGGCCAAAGGCAGTAGACATACCCCGCATTTAAAATGGAGTTTGTAGTCTGACACAGATATGGTACAGTATAATATTAAAAAGAATGCATAAGGTGTACATATATTGTGTACAGAGTCATTTATTTTATTTATTTGAAGTGTTCAGTATAGTCCTTGCAGGAAAATTGGCAATTAAATTACAGGAAGGTGAGCTTTGCTACCCCTCGTTAATGACATCCATGAATACAGTAGCCCAGGTCTAATTCTAGGCTTTTACATTAAAGAGTGTTTGGTGACTTATGAGCTAATGCACCTCTCTATTCTATGGTAGGATGTAAGGCCAAATCTATGTAGACACAGGCCAGCAGGGGACTTAAAAGTCTTCAGTTTATCTTTTGAAACCAGAGCAGCCTGTAGTTGAAAAATCAGCTTGCTGCAATAACTACCCTTTATTTTCCCCATGCTGTTTAATAAAGTTATGGAGTCTGGCATTCTTGTTACTTACAGTGAGCATCCTGCTTATACCACCTTTGACTGATGTACACTAAACAAAGGCAGGAGCATTACTGGAAAATGTTTTGTTCCTGAATCAATGGGAGAAAGCCTTAGTTTTTTCTATATAAAATAACAGGTCTTATTTGTCTACCTATATAGTGCTATCTTCTTCATTATGTGCCTTGCATATATAAAGTATAAATTAAAATTTACTAATCTCTGGCTATTTTAATAATAATTATTAATTATTGTGTTTTTTCACATTATTACATGCTATGGTTGTCAAATGCAGAATTAAAATACATTAAATTAAATTTCACACTTAAATTGCATGGTAATAAGTTAATTTTTAATTAATTACTATTTATGATTTATTGAAATTATTTAATATCTAACATTGTCTGAGTGTAGATTTCCACATGTAAGTGTGTGTGTGTGTGTGTGTGTGTGTGTGTGTGTGTGTGTGTGTATATATAAAAAAAAACAATAAAACTGCTTTAAATTTACCATTCACATTTTTACTGACACAATCCTGATGTCAGTAAATTCATACTTAGACTTTCCTGCAATCTGGATTATGTCCTATATCCACTTTACTTATAAATGTAGGATAAATTCTTCTTCCACTGAAGTTAAGGAAAGTTTTGACACTGACTGCAGTGCACTCAGCATTTTACCCTAGATGATGAAGTTTTGCAGTAACCTGAAATTCATGTCCCCTATGTACTGTATTTAGACCCTCCAAATTTGGTTCAAAATAAAGCTACATTCTGTTCTCAAAAAGTGTTATGTGACTGAAAATTCCTTTATTAGGCACTTCAAAACTGTGACTTTTAAATTATATATGTAGGTTGCAGATGTATTTAAAAGTAATTGAAATTGTTATTGGAATACATGCATTTACTAAATTATATTTTCAAGAATTAGAGGTTTTTCCTTTTATTCTGTTCTTTTAAATGAGGTTTTAATATTTAGCTAATCAGATAATATAACCAAATATGAACATAAGAATCTTGTCTCTGAAATACATCTTTAAACAATATCATTTGGCAAAAATGCGCTAACAACAATACTGTAACCACCAAAATCTGCAAACTTAACCATGCCTCTGTCATTTGAAAGTAACTATAAATTCTTCTTTGTTCTCTTTTATTGTTTTTTTTAAATTCATAACATGGTGACTAATCATTCCTATATGGTTCTGCTTATTGCCTGAAAACAGCAACTAGAATACAGACATTTTAGTTACTTGTTAGCTACACACATTTTCTCACAAATGGTAGTATTTTATGCTAAAATGGCCCACTGGTTATTAAGATCATTGTTTTGAAACTGAAGCAGATGTCTCCACGAACATCACTGTTTTGCGGTTTCATTTTTTTTGCTGTGGCATATGCCTTCCAGTGACTCTAATTTTTTTTTTTGCAGTTCTTTCTTATAGCATGTTTAAAATGAAACAGATCTGTTTAATAATGACAAAGATTTCAAAACAGCTAAATTTCCATTTGTAGTCAATGTAGCAACTTTCCCCTCTTCTGTTAACTGTGAATGTCAACAATACCTTCTACAACAGCATAAATTGCTGATTTCTAGCATATGGACATGGAATGCTAGATATATTGTAGCTTAGCTGAGGCATTTAAAAAAGCCTCTCAGTACTGCCGAATGCTGCTGCTTCCTAGGGTCAAAGAAAACAGGAATATGACTTTTGTATTACAGAAGCCAAAAAAATAAGGTATTTGGAGTTTGGTAATACTGGGGGAAGAGAGAAGGAGCAACAGCCTTTCCACTATTTGAAGTGGAACACCAGCCTTCGATGAAATACATAAACCCTCTCATAATATAATAGAATCTGCAAAATCCCTTCCAAAGCAACAAAACAAACTGCATGTTTTAAATGGGAACATAATTGTTACAAGTAAAAAGAGATCCTATTAAATCAGAGTTAATTGTGTAAAGAACAGAAAAAAATAAACTTTTACAATTTTGAAGGTGTGTTGGCACTTAAAAAAAACTTCACTGTAGACAGTCTAAATATACCCCTACTAACTTTGGCTTGCATGAATATACTAAGCAGGAGCCTATGACACTGAGTACATTGTTTAAAGACTACTTCAGGATGGTTAAGAAGAGGATGATATAATCTAAATATGTGATAAAGTGAGATTACTGGTATATATAATATTTCTCACTGGCAGGCATTCCTATCATGTCATATCAAAGTCTAGCAAAATGTTGAAAGTTAGAAATGTTATCAAGCATTAGCAGGCATTTAAAGAACGTCTGTTGAATATTTCTAGCATAAAAAAGTATTTCATGTGATGTAAATGAATGGTAATTTTCTGACTTTAAAAGAGAACTGTGCCAGTACATTTCAGCGTTCTGGACCCAATTCTGCAAACATGGAGATGCTTTCAATTTGCTCTGCCTGCCTTCCCGCCTTAGATGGCTGCGATTGCAGCGAAATTAATCCATTTAAAAATCTGCAGCTTAAACTTAAGGATTTTCAGTTTTTTTTTTCCCTCCCTCTCTTTTTTTTTCTTAGAATATCAATAAGTTCCAATTGAAGAGCGGATTCTTTTGCAATTCAGGCATGTGCCGGCGATAACGGGCGAGTTGGCATGAAGAGAGGCAGAGATGGATTAATTATGCAGAGAACATGGAAATTCTGCTTATCATCGGCTAGCAAAGGAGCCCAGCTCACATAATCAGCAAACGAAGGGAGAGAAAAAAATAACAATGCAATGGCACCTTCCAGCCCATCATCAGGATTTTTTCTACCCCCTTGTAATTAAAAAATAACATACACTTATAGCCCTATCTCCTGTGCAGGCAAGGAGTGGATGTCCACAAAATAATTGCACTGGGATATTAGAGCTGGGAACAAGGGCTGTCCATTCCTACTATCCCTTACTCCCTCCCCTCCCTCTCTCTCTCTCCTGGCCTCTACCAGGCACTTCTTTTCTGCCTGCAATCCGAATCAGATGGATGTCTCAGGTGACATCCTATCTCAGTGTCCATAAGTCCCAAACCTCTCCCTTATCATGATTCAAGCAAACATGTATATGATAAATATTTGAAGTGCCGAGGCTGTGGGGTTTTATCCTGATCACCTGTGAGCTATCTGTAGAAATCACTTTGATGAAACCTTTCCAAATGGTCTTTTCAAGTTACAAAACAGGCTGATTAGAAAAGCTTTTTTGTTGTTATAACTGTTTGCACTTTTGCCCACAAAAGATCACATCTCCTATAAAGTTTTTTGTTTTTTTTTTCATTTTTTGTCTTTATAAACCCAAGATAAACCATAATTTTTTTAATTTTCATTGTTTAGATTTAAAAATCATTGCTTAATAAAATTCAGTAGCAATATATCAAGGATATGCAAAGACCCTATAATAAAATGTAGAAATGAGTTTTATTGTAACAAATAGATTGATCCTAGATCTGTATTATTTACTTCACTGATGTTATATTCCATCTTTGCAAATTATGATGCAAACACCTGCACTACACAGTGATGTTCCATAAGCAGAATATATTACAAATGTATTTTGATGCTTTTCTTTTCATCCAAATCTTTTTTACCTCTTGGTGATTGTAAGTTATGGCTTTGGACTTTCTGAGACCCTCCGTTCCTTCTTCCCAATTCATTGGTTAGCAAGAGTAAAGGAACAGGCAGAATGAAGCACCAGAACAACAAATATTATGCAAGTGAGCTATTTTTCCAAGAGCAGTAGGCCAGGATTATAAAGCTGGCAGTCTCCAGAAATGTAATTTATTCATAGAGTTCCTCCAAAGCAGGGGACCAGTGTGGGGCGTAGTTTGCACATTGGTAAATGAGCTACTGCTCACTTCGATGATAACAGCTGATTGTCTAAGATTTTTAATTTTAGTTTTTGTAATTTTTTCAATACTCTTTGGAATTAGAGTTGAAACTGGAAAGAGAGTCTTGATTCCCACTCCAATGTTATTGATGATAAATCAGTAGCAGGTTGTCATCTGAAATTGTAAGAAAGAAAAGAATTGATAAAGGCATTTTTTAAAAGTATATTGTCCCACACTCTGTTCTCAGGTCCAGTAGTATAATTCTAGAATAATTCCACTGAGTTTATAACTATTATAGTTGTATATCACTGGAGATATGGCTGAACACAATGAAATAAATGATATTTGTTTTGTAGAATAGGAATCCCTGGCTAAAACTCTTCATTATAAATTCCTTAGTGGCTTTTTTGTCCATTTTACATGAAATTGTTATGAGGCACCTGAAAGGCACTGGACTGACACTTAGACATTGAAGTATTTTATCCAGTGCATGCTTCTGCCTCTCTGTACTGAAAAGACCACTTTCAGGGTGAGAAAACTGTTCAGTGTCCATATCTATTCAGTCTTTGGCCTGCTGCTGTTCCCTGTCAACAATGATGCCAGTTAGTATCATTTGGAGTGGTATTTGCAAATAAATATGGGCACCTGCCTTGTAAGAAGAGGCAAATCATTTCAATCAGACTACAAGATTGCAGTGACTGTTGGCCACTACAAAACTGGATTTATTAAGATCAAGGATGTAAAGTGGAAAGGTTCCACAATCTATTACCAATTGTATTTTTTTATTATTTGTATTACAGTTGTATCTGGAGGCCAACTCCAAGGTGGCAGGAAGTCTGTGTAAGAATATGTAATATATGTTGACTACATGATTACATATATACATTTCTTGATTACAATCTTAACAGACACAGGTTATGAGGGGAAGCAGAGGCATAGAGAAGTGTAGTGGTGTGTTGAAGGCTGCACAGGAATCGTTAGAAAAGTCAGGTTGTGAACTCAGAACTCTTCTAGGTATTAGAGTGCCCTAAGCAGTAGACCGTACTCTCTCTGCAGCAATTTATACATATCATAGTAGTATCTAGGGTCTCGCCATACTAGGCCCAATACAAACATATACGAAACCTCATATGAAACCCTGTCAGGCCAAGCCTCTTGGTCTGACAGGGTGGTACCATGTAAACCAGTACAGCCTGTTCCATGGTTGGGTTGTCAGCAACTAAACCAGCACCTCCACCTGGGCTAGCCTGGGTGAGGGTGGTCTGTGGACACCCAGTAGGTCTAAAAACAAGACCTGTCAAAGCGTGGATGAGCTCCCTTTGAGCCAACAGCCATCCATACCTCAAGAGTAGATGGGTGCCACCAGGTTACTTTGCTCAAAGAATCACCAACAATGCACAGCATCTAAGGTGTCCCAACGGTTACAGCGGCCTCGGGACTGACTTGATATGAAACAACAGCCAATCCCCCAAAATGACATCCCATTTAGCCCTTTATCTGATAACTGGATCTGTACTGCCAGAAACGTGTTGATACAAAAATTCAGTTGAAGGACCAGACCTAAGAACCTTAAAGCCTCATCTTTAGCAGTTCCAGGTATTAGATCAGGCCTTTGTCACTGTGCTGTGGTAGAAACATAAAACAGACAGTATACTTCCATAATCTTTTATGATTCCTGAAAACAAGTTTTAACATCTTTCACAATAGGAGGTGGATAATAGAATCCTCAGTAACCGTAACAGTAAATGGATTTGTAATCTACCCATGATTAAAATTATTTTCATCACGAAGTAGAATTCTCATTATTGTTGCCATTCTAATATTATCAACTATAAAGTGTCTTAGTGATTGATATTATAGACAGCAAAACCCTATATTATGGTAATTAAATTTAAAATGAATCAGCCATACTTGTGTGTCTCAGTACAGCACCTGATTATTTAAAAACAATTAGATCCTGGTGTCACCTAATGGCACTCACTACTTTGAGGTGCCTAAAGGAATTGTTCAGGGTCAAAAAGTTGAGGCTATAGGTGAAATAGCATTTCATGTCATTGAAGAGATACTAGGGAAACTGTTCTTAAAATATTTTAAACAAAGGTTACAATCCATTAAGAATTTCAGTGTAATTCAGCCCTGAATTCTAGGAGCATTAAATAGAATCCTATAGGAGAGAAACATGTTTAGGAACCCGACACTCAAGAGTTCTATGGTGGGGGGAGGACAGGACAGGACAGGACAGGACAGGACAGGAGGGGTGACACAGAGAGGGTATTAAAGTTTATTTGGCTCTTACTTTAAAAAACACGAGCAAACATGAATATGTATCTAAACTGTCTTCTTGCAGGTAGGTAGATTTTTTTCCAATTACGTTTTAGAGGTACAGTATAATGCTTTCTTAAATTGGAGCTAGCTTGTGGATTAATAGCTCTTCAGCGCAGATGTCCATGTCTAGAAATATTAAAGTCTGCAAAAATATTTTACAAAATATTTTCTCACATTTTTCCTATAAGAAGATTTTGTAGGGATGAGAGCTCCCCAACCAGAAGAACGTTTATGCCTTTTATCCTCTTAATCTTCAGCTTTTTTTTAGTACATTTTACCACTCTGCTATTACAAGATACATTTTTCATTTTGGTGAAATTTTAGTACAAAAAAATTCTTTAGTATCTCAGTTCATTTGCAGATTTCACCAGGCTTGCAAAAGCACACCTGTTGTGCTGTCTGGATTTCCTTTTCTGATCATAGGCTTCTGACAAAGAGGGGGGAAAAGAAAGATTTTTATCAAACACTCTTCACCGGACAATGAATTTTCTTCACCATTTGAATGTATCTGTGGAATGCCTGAGTGATTCATTACAGCAGATTCTGAAGTATGACAATGGGCCGCAGAAATGACTGATGGTATCTTTTTCCTGATTTCATTTCCCTGATCCTCTTCATCCCTTGGCCTGTGTACCTCGATTAATTAGAAACCAGGGATTTTCACTCATCAGCTGATGGGTTTCATGCTCCACTCTGTCACAAATCTGCTGCTTGCACTATCTCTCTTACAGCTGGTGGCTGCTTTAAAAACTTTCTTTTTTCTTTTTTTCCCCTTTTTTGAAGCAGTGCTTTGTGACTACAGGTTTAGGCCTTTTTAAGATTCAGACATATTTTTTAAAAGAGATTAAAAATTAAAGTAAAGAAGATTCAAAATCTCTGATTAAGTTAATCCCTATCCAAATGATACTTGTCCAAAAATGAACTTTTTGAAGAGATAATAATGTAAATGTTTCATAGCTCTCAGCTTTCCAAGTTCTTTTTTCAAGATATAATAATTGAAGTATTATGCAAAGGATGAAAGTATATAAATATGATTTTTTGTGAAAAAGACCCATATGCTCAGTTCACATGCATTTTAGTGCTGCCTATACTATATTGTTAAGTGAACTGCATTTCAGATTTCACTTCTATGAGGCACCTTATAATAGGATCCTGCAATAAATCATTGAACCATTATTGTTTCTGGAGGAAATATTTCATAATTGAAAATATGCTGCCCCTTAGGGTATATACCAAATTAAAATCACATGGTGATATAATCCCTTAGGAAACAAACCATAATTAAATAGTATTTAAAATGCAGAATATTTTGTAATAAAATTCCCCTCAGAAACATAAAATAATGTGTGAATCACAGACAACAAACATATCAATTATGTGTACCATGGAAAATGTAACCACTGCTAGTTAACTTTCTTATCATTATGTATTCCCTCCCCCAATTGTTTGGTTTAATTTCTTCATCTAATATATTGTCAGTACAAAGATTTCCTTTTTCTTCAGCCAGGTTCAGAAGCAGAACAGTCTTTTCAGAATGTCAGACTTTGTGGAAACCATGTGTTGCTATGAATGAGGTAATGCTCATGATCATTCAGATCTTTTGCTTCTATGGAGTAAAGTCTATTAATTCTGCAGTTTAGTTAAACTGCATGATGGCTTTTTAATCCTATTTATTATTGATTAATTTCCTATGTATATAAATGTGCACATACACACTACCATGAAGCCTGCCAGAAAACACTAGTCAACAAACAGACTTTTCACTTGATCTTTTTCCTCTGCTTCCCCTGGCATTGAAATGAAGATGCATCTAACATCTAACTAGGAGGAAGAAGGTGGAAAAACAAGCATGTGCTTTGTTTTTCAATTAAAAATTGGAAAAAAATGTAATCTGAATAACTTTAATCCACTAATTTGTGTGCTTCCTTAGCACATTTATTTACTGTAGTACTCTGCTTATTAAAATACAGCAGTTTACTATATAGCCAGCCCTATATGGCACAGTAGTTAGTCTGAGACAGAGAGGATCCTATTTCCCCCACAACAGCCTAAGCCATAGTATGTGTTCAGTAGAGGGAAAGTCATACACTTTTAAATGTGTGCAATTTGTAGAGCGATGGTTCAGTGACAGTTCCAAA